TTTTTGAAAACGTGAAAATCTGGGTCGGTCGGACGATGCTAAACAGAGAAAAAAAGGGGGTGGCCTTTGCTGGGACCAAACGGAATGTGGGGGAGGAGGAGCTTTGGAGACGCTGGCCCTGTATCTCTTAAGTATTAAAGTCATAAAAGGAAACAAGAAAATTTAAATTGTGAATTGCTAATGCACTACACGGAATTAGCGCTATATAAACGTTACATCCGTTTTTAACAATAGCAAAGCGTCAATTCTTTTTCGTGCAAAAACCTACCACTTGAGCCGCATATTTATTCTGTATTATTTAAACCAATCAGCCTGTTCGTATGAATGGGCCAATTAGCAAGGGTGTTATTTCAGCCTTAGCAAGGTTAGTGGAGAAGGCCCTGGGGACGAAGCTAGTTTTCACTTTCAATTTACAACATGGTGGAAGCTCCAGGAATTCCGCTACCTTCGGGTTATGGCGAGGACTTTGTCGATGCACTTGAAGACGAGAATCTCTGTGTGATATGTTATTTGCCGCTTAAGAAGCCTGTTCTGACAAGATGTGGCCACAGGTTTTGTAAAGAATGCCTCGAGGAACATTTCAGAAGGTGCGGCTTAGTTTACGTTGTTAGACTACAGTGTCATTTAGATTTTAACATCTGAATGATTTTCGCAAGGCCTAGTTTCCATTCGCTGCGCAAGAATAAGCTTAAGCACAAGAAAAAGTCCTTGCAAACACTAGGATATGCAGGTGGAAACACAGGGATCAAACTGTTTTTAATTCAATGCTTGCGCTTGCGTTTCTCAGCTGCTGCAGTTGTTCAGGACTCGTGTGCTTCCGATTCACAATAGAAACGCTTATGTTTGCATCACGACCGGGCTTACCAAGAGCTAGCTTACTATATTATAACTGAACCCCTTACAGTTTGCATCGCCGATATAAATTTGATCAACAGACTGATCTAGAGTTGCCGGCTATTCAATTGGCTGAGAAATGATGGGATATCCAGTCCTTGTTTTATGCAAATGTTTCCATTTGTTGCGATCTCGATCAAGCGTAACAAGATCATATCGTGTATGGCTTTTGCTTTATACGACACTTTTTCCTTACATTTAGCATCAGTTATCGATTAAGTTCTTTAATTGCTTCTGGAAAATTTATTTAACAAACAAAATGACGGCGAAAGCGGAAGCATGACTAATTTTACACGTTGGTAGAATTGATTTTGTTTCGTTTTCTCAGAAACGAAACGGTGTTGTTTTCAGTTCAGCGGGTGAACTATTTACATAGTGGAGGTAATATCCAATCAGAGTAAAGTTCAAAATTGACCCATTGTTAATGTAAATACGGCGGTAAAATTTTCGCTAAATTCGCTGCATCGCAACAAAATGTGGCATTTGCAACATTTCAATTGTTGTCTTGTACGAAAATAGAGTTTTACTATTGAAACTCTCGTTTCTCGTTATTATATTACACACATATACAAGAAAAAAACAAACTGGATTTCTAATCAGATAGTTATAGTCAAAAGGAAGTATGTTTTTGAGGTACAGACACCGGTACACCACGCAATTTGTCCACCAATACGATATTTTAAGACGATGGAAGCAGTTAGTATTGTTTAGTTTTGTTTTGTTTCAGAGTGATTTATTGATATAGTGAGTATGAATGTTATCGGGCTAACGCTTGTAATTCAAAAGGTCAACATGTTCAGCAAAAATAACTTTTGAAACTAGATTTAATTTCGTGCCACGGAAATAAAAATACCAAACATATAGAAATAACTGGCGACTTAAATGGTTCTAAGTCAGAATGAAACAATGCAAATTAATGCTTATTTCGTAGTCTCATATTAAACAATTATTGAATGAGGTTTTTGTGATATCACAAAAACCGAATCTAACAAGTGTTTTATTATACATTGAACGAAAAAGATGAGAGTCATGTTTTTGCTTCTTCACTGACGGCAAGCAACATAAAGCGTGCGAACTTGACGTGATAACCCGCGACCTTAGGTGTCCTTGACATGATTATTGTATAATCTGCAGAGATGATGTCACAGGCGCTGATTTCGAAAATTCACTGTACGCTTTCGGCAATCAGAAAAGAGATAGTGAGTTCAATAATACCTGGAACTTACCAAAAAAACACGATACAATACAATACTGGTTTAATGCGAATACACACTTAGCTGTGGTGGTGCACTACAATAGTTCACCAGCTAGTTTACAGGTATATCACTAGAAAACAAATATTAAAATATAATGAACATGGAGTGACCAAAATTGGCTAAAAAAGCTAAAATAACGAAAAAAACAACAACAACAAAAAAAAAAACAGTTCAGACTTCCGTTACATATGCACAAGCCTAAAATTGATTGATAAATCGACAGAATAATTAACCATATATACACCGCACTATGAAAGTCCTGTCAAATCTAGTTTGTTAATACTATGAACTTAATGTAATATTTGTTTCAATTTGTTTCTTATTTCAATTTCAGCTAGAAATTGAAATATTCACCTTAAGTCGGGATTCCTCGACATGATTCTAAAACGCTCTGCTGGCAAAACGCCATCGACAGCGGATAAGATTGAATTGAACGTTTAGCACCGTTATATCTTTCTTTTGTATTTCTTTACAAGGTGTAAACAAAAAACGTGATAAATGGTGGGAAAACTGGTCACGTGGCGATATCCGCTACCGTTTGCCCGTTTCCGGCTAGCCTGCTAGAGTATCTGTTTTTTTTTTTAAGATCAGAAAAACGGGATGCTCTTACGGGCTAGTTTTTGGCACCTTGTCAGGTATTTCGTCAGTTTGTGCTTGATATCGAGTGTGCCGTGTACTCTGTCTTTTTTCGCTAGCGTCCAATTTCAGGCAGTTAAAAAACAGCGATTCGACAGGGCAGACAAGGGAAGTTCAAATAAGTATAACTCGTTGGATACTTTTGTTCTAATGACTATTTCAGCATATTTAGAGAGACTCTTTGTATAGTGTCAACACACACCCATCAGATAATTTACTCATTTATGTCCTTTTCCTCCACCCCAAAAGAACACACTCCAGTGCTGCCTTGCATGAGCTCTGTTTACTGGGCTACTATAAAACACATCAAATGATTGGGCTAATATGGGCCTTTGCCCATAGCCGCTTTTATTCAAACATCAAATTTCCTTAACAATCTTTCATAAGAATTTTGGCCCAGTAAAGGTGTGGCACTAAAAACGAATACACTAAAACATACTTGAACGGAACTTACACCTCAGACTAACAGGGACGCAATGAGGAGAAGCACATGGCTTGGTAGCTCATGTGATCTACGCGAAACCCTTATACAGGGGGGTCGACTGAATTGTACTAATATCTCCCCTGCCGGTCCCAGGCCCTTTCTGAATAAAACAATACACAAGCAGAGAAAGGGCATAAAAATCCTATTTCCAGGAAAATATCGTATTTCTTATTAATATTTGTACCTCACCGTATTTGTTTTATACAATTCACATTCCTACTCTTTTCACACATTTTTACTTTCCATTTGTATAGAAGCCTTACGCGGAATATTTTTCTTATCCCTGATGATGCCGTGGATCGCATCAAAAAAGTTTGGATTTTAAAGGATTTTAACATCAATTTCACAGTAGTTTCAGGCCTCATTTGAACTTTTGTCAGTGTTACTATTAAAATAAGTACATCTATAGAAAAATCTATTGGTTAACAAATTAAAAAATCCATTAAGAGAATATTCAATTTGTATTTTATTGGCGAAAAGCATATTTAATAATTAAATTCATACTCTCTCCTATTAAACTTACTATCAATTCCAGAGTTTGATACATGTAAGTAAGATAAGTTACTTTATTAAATCCATTTTGAAATCACTGGTTATCCTTGCAATCTGATTGGCTTTCAGCAGTACGATTTATTCACGAATCGCACTTTTTTTTGCTCTAAATCGCGTCTTTTTCTCAGCCAATGAGAATGGAACAGTAAAACAAAACAACCAATCAGATTTCAAGGTTAGTTTAAAGTAAGCAATAAAATTTGAGGAAAATAGAAGACAACAAGCCATTGTGTGGTGAATTTTGTGACAATTATTGCTAAAACTTTGTTGTTGTTGTTGTTGTTGTTGTGTTTCAAAACATTTGACGAATTTAATTAATTACAGTTTCTGAATGACGATTATGAGCTCCTTCAGGCTGAAGATCTACTTTACAGCGAGTTTCGAACATCCAGTGTCCATTTTGACGAATATTCTGGCGATATTTCTTCAGCATCTGCTCAACATCCTTCCAAGAAAACATAAACAAACGAAAACCACACAACAAATTCAGGTCCATCTCAAGAAGGTAGATGTTTCCAGGTTTCCGGTAGTTTCAAACGAAGCAATATAAGAGCTCAACTCTGTCGCTGTGAATGAACATACGTAGTCAAAATACGCCCCGCTCCACAAAACAGTGAATGAACGAACGTCTTCCGAAGCTGGTGCCCCGCCATCTTGAAAATATTTCGAAACAAACGACGCCGCAAGAACTTGACAAGGTCTTGAGTACTAAGTTCTACGCGAGGTCACAAAAAGAAACGGAGATACTAACGAGCAAGAATCCCTTAAAATCATGCAGAGTGCCTTCTCCAAAGACAACTAGAAGTCTCAGCCTCATCCACAGAAGAAAAGGAAGGGGAAGATAATTGAACTTTGATGCATGAAGTAGACTGTTTTCGTTCTGACTTCTGAACTGCTCGTTTCTTTGTTATGCTCGAATGAGTTTTCGTCACATGACATCGTTTTGCATACTAAATGAGATGTCAAGCCATTTCCGGTTCCGCTATTTTAACACCGGCTACTGAATCTAAAATTTAACGCCATAAAACTGTGCGATTTCAAAATGGATTTAATAAAGTGGCAAATGAACTTCGTGTCGTGCAATTTTGGTCTGAAATCATACTTAGGATTTCAAATCGAACTCGCGCTGCGCGCTCGTTCAATTTTGAAATCACGCGTATGATTTCCGACCAAATTGCACTCCACTTAGTTCAATTACCATTATAAATACGTGTGCACAACGTTTTTTCATGTTTTGATTTGGCAATCAAAAATTTAAATCCACGATCACTGTGCGCCGAATTCAGAAGGAATTTTAATTCCATAATTGAGGTCATTTACCGGAGAATTTCAAAAACAATAGGAATTAGCATGAATTGATCAAAGTAGTAGTAGTTGTTGTCGTTTTTGATAAAGATGACCTTTTACTGCAGAACGTTATCTTTCTTTGAGAACAAATTAAATTTAAACTGTGCGTTTCAAATACTATTTGCAAATCAAGGGGTGCAATATGAGACTGACCGTTTAATCAAGCATAGAAGTCTTGGTAACTGTTTTGATAATTGATTTATTTCGGACATCTCTCATCTTAAGGTCATTCCCCAGTGTTGCATGATTAGCGCGCGCGCATTAAAAAATGGCGGCTTTTCCTTTGCGGCTGGACCTCGCCATAGAGGTAAATCGTCATTTTCTCGAAAACGAGTACGGTGANNNGTTCGTGGTAGACCTTAAGCCATACCTGTTACTAACCGAGTTCGAGGTCCGTATTGTGAGTGACGGACCGAGTTTTCCCCCCTCCGATTTATGGCCCAAGCGCAAAGCGGCGTTATTTCTCATTTATGTTGTGACTAGACCTATTGAGTAGCTTTCTATGTAGCTTAGAATCAGTCACTTTAGACACTTTAATAAAGTCTTACTAACTCTTACTTACTTACTTACTTACTTACTTACTTGCTTGCTTGCTTGCTTAATTACTTACTTACTTGACAGAGGCGTGCTGTGACATATGAAAACCTCATATGAAAGATGACTTGTTTTAAATAACGCAGACGATGAAGAAGTGATCTATTGATAAAAGTAATCGCTCTCAACCAAAGCATGTTGGTTTTCCGACAGACTCACTTGGCATCCTGCCTTTTTAGAGATGTTCCCTGCATCAATGATAACTGTCAAGTTACACTGAAATGGAAAGACCTCAGTGAACACGTGAGTGTCACGTGCCAGTGGAGGATTATACTGTGTGAACACTGCAACGAGCCACACCCTAAGTGTCAAATGGAGGTAACAGTAAACCGATGAGAGCATCGCTTAAATAGAGTGTAAAACTTTAACTAATTACAGTTTGGGCTGAATGATCTTGAAACCAGTTGTGCACTCATCAAATCTTCAAATTGTCATCTTAATAAAGGAATTATCATGATAAGTTTTTCTTCGTTGGGTCGTCGTTAATTGTGTATTTTCCTACAAATCATTGATTAAATCTAACAGGACAATAAAAAATGATCACATGTTGTCAATATGCAAATACGGAAATACTCGTCTTAGTATATACCAAAATAATGTACCACGCTTTTCTCGCGCCGTGATTGGTTTATCAAACTACATGTAATGATATCCTTTGCTATTTACTTCCAATCTACGGGTTTCCCCTTTTCTTAAGGCAACATAATTAGAATTGTGTTTTTTATTTCTATAAACGAGTTCGTTCAACCTCTCTGTATAATAAGCTCTTGCTTCAGCAGATACAGTACCGAAATTTGGTAGGTAGCTTTTCCAAATAACAGTCAGTAATAAAATCACTAAAATGTGGTCCGAAATCTGATGTTTTGTTTACTATCGAGAAATGAGACGGTTATAAACATGAAACTCTCCATATTTTGGTAAGTCAATTTTTTTTAGATATAATAAACACGTACAGTTATTCAACTCCACCGCGGGAATCAGCGCAAGGTTTTGCCGTTTTCTGAAAAAGAAAAAAAGACAACAAAACAAAAAAATAAAACGGTGATGCTTTTACCCTATTGTACCCAAAATTTGTGGTTTTTTCGTGTGAAACAAACATAATAAAGAGTCAGAAAACTTCCAAATGTAACGGATTGAAAAGGCAGTTATATAGCTATAGCAGGCAGGTGTTATTTTGAGAATTGAGAGATATTGACTTCTTATTACTTTCAGGATCATGTCCGAGAAAAATGTAAACTGCGTCCATTACCCTGCCCATTCAAGTGCGGCGCTTTAAACCTGAGAGACAAGGTGAGGGTGACGAATCTGTGTTTTCTTCTAAATTCCATGACTATTTGCAATAGCACAGCATAGCATAATCATCAACACTATCCTCCTCCTCCTTCTCCTCCTTCTTATCTCAGTCATCATCATCATCATCATCGTCAGCAGCAGAAGCATCGACAACATTGACAACCGTTCAACCGTTTGCTTGAAGTGGTAACGAACTTCACGGAAATAATTCACGAGCCTTGCGTTGTTTTGTTTTAACTGCAGGAATTGCAGGATCATCTTAAAACATGTGAACGCTTCCCACTGAGATGTCCTAACAACTGCGAAGAAGTAGTTTCTCGAGAAATGGTGGGTCACCTCAGTACTCCTTCTTGTCGGTAATTAATAGAATTTTGGTTTTCGCCCTTTGTTTGTGAGAAATTATCATTGACACCTTTTCCATGGAAGACAACAAAAATAAAAAATATATATATAACCATTAATTGCCCTCGGCAGTGTTATAGCACAAGTGCTAGTGGGGCTAAGCAAACAACTGAAACAAATAATTCAAATTGAACAACAACGAACTACTGTTAACTGCTTGAAAATATGAACATGTAGTAGCAAAACAAATGAACATAGTGTCACTTTGTTCCTCTCTTGGGCCAGATTTACTCATTTATATGTGACAGTACTGATCACCGTACCGTCGTCATCTGGTAACAACAACAAAAACAGAAAAATTGCGGCGTCAATTTTTTTTCTCTCAGCCCACTTGTTCATAGATAAAGTCTCTCCGATAAACACTAATTAATCTTGGGAGAGAATCTGGAGATGAGCTATAACTGCCCATGGTGCCCGTCCCAGTACAATACCCGGGTGGATAGTACTCGTCCGTGAAATACTTTCTGTAAACATTTGTGACAGGTGTTATGCATAAATAAATATTTGATTGATCTGCATTTAGTGGATTTTTATCTGAATTCTTGTTGATTTTAAATTTGCCTTTCATGCCTTTCATCTAAAAATGTTGGAAATAGTTCAATATGATTTTTGATTTGGGGCGCGGAACAAAATTTAGAGGTTAACAAAAAAGACAAAAAAGTGTTTATGTCTCGGAACTACCGGTCCTGTACTTGCCCCTTGGAAATTTGATGTTCTTAAAAGTATATAGCATATTTGCCCTTCTCGGGCAAATATTTGTGTTAAGAACAACATATTTCCGCGGGGAAACTATCAGCCGGGACAGTTCCTCGACAGAAATGCTTTATTCTTTAAATAGAAATCTTGAACTCATAATCTAATTGTTAAGTATTATTATTGTGAAAAAGATGCCAAAAAGTTGTCAAAAAACTGGCAGCAGTACCGCAAACTTGACTGTAAATGGTGTCAACTAAGTGTTGTTTTGTCATCGTTTTCTTACAGGTTTCTAATCACATTAAGGACTATTGCCCCTTGACAAAAATGCCGTGTCCATTCGCGTGGATGGGCTGCTGCACAGAGGTAAACGTTTTTCGATAGTTAAATACAACCACGTTATGACTAAGTTATCAATGTTTTGTACATTTCCCAATCACCAAGGCAACTTCTTAAGGGGATTTTTTTTTTTGTAATACTGACCAGGGAGCCAGTTCATGTGTATATGATAGGTGAACGTCTTTTACTTTAGACATTCAAAGTAGTGTAACAGGGGACAGCGCGATTGTAACAGACTAGCCTTTCAAAGGAACTTGTCTTTGACACCGTTTGAGCGATTTTTGTTCATGAGCCTACATCAGTTGAACAGTGAATCTCTCAAGTTGTATAGTGTTTACTAATATTTTGAGTGTAGAAATAGGGACGTACGTACTGTAGCTGAATAACCAATTTTAGCCATTATATGTAAAATGTGCTAACTAGATTTTCATTTTTCCCATTTCAAATTAATTTTACATTTTTTTTAAACAGTCAAGATGATACGTGTTTTGTTGTTATTCTTGTTGAAGACGAAGGCTAACACCGTTCGTTTCTAAGGCCCCATTTATATGGTCTCGGGTACCGGAGACAACCCTCCCCCCGAGTTACCCTGCGCGAGTTAACTTTTCACTGTGTCGTTGAAAAATTCAAAAAACCATTTATATGAACGTCCCCGACTCGTTTCACCTCGGCAGGTAGGGTGACCCTGACAGACAGGACATCTTTTCTGCATATAGACGCTTTGGTTCGCCTAACTGGGACAACTCTCAGCGTAGCGAGTGTCACGAAATGCCTGGATTAAAGGTTTAAAGTAGAAATTTTATTAAATGACCGAGGAAAACTCAAAGAAAGAGGGATATTTGCGTATTTGATTATTCAATAAGAGTTATCAATAATCGTGCGGGGTCAACTTTGACTCGGCCTGTAGGGAAACCGTTTTCGCATATAAACGCTCGATAAAGTTGCCTCAGGGGGAGAGTTGTCTCGGGTACCCGAGACCTCATAAATAGCGCCTAAGTTTCATATTTATATATTAATCCGTTCTTTGAACCGTTAGAACTGTAAAGAAATTCGGTGGCTAAATTAAGTGTTATGTTGTACTATTTTGTTACCAAGAGTAGAGCCTCATATTCTTGCTTGTTACGGAAGATCCATTCAACTTTCTTTCACAAACTCTTTCAACTAAAGCGTTTTCCATCGTCACGTGACCAACGTGCTTTGTTTCGGACTTCCTAGTTCCACGTTTATCTTGTATTTTTTCCTTCTTCTTTGGACTTATTGTCCACTCCTACCGATCGACCGATCTAAGATTAGAAAATCTATTCGACGCTAAAAGAAGAAAGAAAGAGGATAGCGTAAAAGGAAAGGAAAACTTTGCAAGTATAAAAGGTGTAGTTAATAGCTTTGTTCTTGCGAAAGAAATAGTTAAAATTATAGCATTTTATTTTCAGGTGCAGAGAGATGAACTCGAATCACATCTTGAATGTGCAACTAAAAGTCACCTCGATTTAGCGTGCGGTGAGTTAAGGGACACGCAGGAAAAAGTAAAAGAACAGATCACACATTTTGACAGACTTGAAGAGAGGGGAAGGATCTTAGACGAGCAACTTGAAGAGAAAGTAGATGATATTCAAGACCAGCTTCGAAACAATGTAGATTTCTTACAACGGCAACACCAACGGAGAGTTGGTATCCTTCAAGAGCAGCTTGAACAAGAGCAGAAAATTCGTAGGAAAATTAGCACAATATTTTCGATTTGTTTGGTGTTGGGACTTGTGTTTTTTAAGTTTTACCTGACGAAACTTGAAGATACAGTCCAGAAAAATTTAGAAGAAAAAGTAAGTGTTATTCAGAGCCTGCATGAAAAGAATATGGTTATGATAAAGAAGGATCTTGAAGATAAATTCCAGAAGAAACTAGAAGAAAAAGTAAGTGCTATTCAGAGTCTGCATGAAAAGAATATGGGTATGGTAAAGAAGGACCTTGAAGATAGATTCCAGAAGAAACTAGAAAAAGTAAGTGTTATTCAGAGCATGCATGAAAAGAATGTGGGTATGGTAAAGAAGGATCTTGAAGATAGTTTCCAGAAGAAACTAGAAAAAGTAAGTGTTATTCAGAGCCTGCATGAAAAGAATATGGTTATGATAAAGAAGGATCTTGAAGATAAATTCCAGAAGAAACTAGAAGAAAAAGTAAGTGCTATTCAGAGTCTGCATGAAAAGAATATGGGTATGGTAAAGAAGGACCTTGAAGATAGATTCCAGAAGAAACTAGAAAAAGTAAGTGTTATTCAGAGCATGCATGAAAAGAATGTGGGTATGGTAAAGAAGGATCTTGAAGACAAATTTGAATCGTTAAACACTTATCTTAGCAATAGACTGTTGATATTAGAGCTGCATACAGAAGTATCTCACGATTTTATATGGAAGATAACAAGCTTTGAAAACAAATTGAGGCAAGGAAAAAACAAAGAAAAGCGGTTAATTGACAGTTTTCCGTTTTACGCGTATGGCTACAAACTGATGCTAAGATTGTATCCAGATGGCGATGGCGCTGGAGAGAACACTCATCTCTCCATATTTATTGCTGTAATGAAAGGCGAATATGACGCCATATTACCCAAGGGGTTCACAAAGCGGGTAAAAATTACGTTAATCGACCAGCAAGATAATCCAAATGAACGACAAAACGTTGTTATGGGGTTTAATGCAGACCCCCCAGAAAAATCCTTTGAAAGGACTGCTGAAGGAGAAATCCGTTTAGGGTGGGGATTCCCACAATTTGTATCACATAATGACCTCAGGACAAGACGCTTTCTTGTTGACGACACCTTATTCATTAAAGTTCAAGTATACGCACCAAAAACTAAGGCATCACGGTTCTAACTTTAACCATTTACACCTTAAAGGCTGCTAATGGTCTGGTATGTCAATGATCTTGGAAAAGGATGTTTTCGTGGTGACTGTATATTTTGACATTCATGCTTTTTGAACTTTGGAATTTTCTTGTTTTTATCAAGAAAATGTGACTTTATATTCTTGGTTTCAGTCATGTGACGCAGTCATATTCCAAAATTAAAAATTACCTTTCCTTCTGAGGTTTTAGTTTCATTAGACAAAAGACCCTATACGAACTTGACGTTTGACAATGTTTTAGCTCGACAAGGTTCTTTTTGTAATTTTCCAAGCTTTTGCGTTGCGTGACATGAAAATGGAGGCCCGAAAAGGCTGTCGCATAGGTCAAATGATGAGTTATCGCTTTAGTTTTTGCTAACTAAACGGTGCTTGCACTAGAACAAGCATTTATTTCAATGTGTCGAAGCTCTAGAGTAAACATTTTTCGTTTCAATAGCAGACTTCAATGACAAATGTTTCTGTTACTTTACGGCCGCCATGTCTGTGCCCCTCCGAAGGGCACAAACATGGCGTCTCCATACAAAGCTCTATAAATTTCGGTGACACACTTCGGCGAATAACGCGCGATTGAAAAACAGCATAAACCTGATTCTTGGCGAGGTTGTTTATATGGCAATCATCTATCATATTCCAGATTCTTGAATTTATTTATTGAATGGTTACGAGTTTTAGTTTTGATCACATGACTGGCGAAAACCAAGTATAGTTAACAATTATTCACCGAAGTGGAGGTGAATAGTAGTTGCTAATCACCTCCGGGTTAACCAATCAGAGCGCGCGAAAAGCACTATTCACTTGTGTGGTATATACTAATTCAGGATATTTCATTTTTAAGACTTTTTAGGGTTTTAATTGATGTTAGCTAGCTTTGAGTCGATTTTGATGGTTTTCGAACGTTTTTGAAAATCAGGAAATCCAAGATGTCTGGAAATACGAATGTTGAAATTTCGGACGTTCAATTTTGTGACACTTTTTATCTCATATCGGAAACAATTCGGACACTGTGATAAAGCATAGCTAGAGTAAATTTACACCTGCAAAACACGAATTCAACTTAAACATCATCTGTGAGAATGATAGTTTTATTGCCCCCTCAAGGTTTTAGAGATATACCAAGGAGGAAATAACACAAATTCTATCAAGCCGTTACGTATCTTAAGCAGTGTCTCAACCAGAGTTCGCTCCATAAAGGAAACTAAGAGCTTTGAAGCTGCTTTAAAATTTTACATTGTACTGTAAATAATTCGGACACTTAAAATTTCGGAAGCTTAAGAATTCCGGACGTCTCTATTTTGGGACACGTTTTTTTGTCCGAAGTTGAAATTGTCCTTTTTTTAGCAAGCAATATAGCAAAAATAGAACAATAAGAAACCTAGTTTAGATCACGGCTTTTTAAGCGCTATGCTATTAACTGTGTTACGGATTTTTAATTTAAATTTTTAATCTGACAAATTTTAATTATCGACCTCAAAACAGGCGAGCTGCCCCTGTAGAGCCGGTAGTTAGCTTTGTTTCCGCTCGATCCGATTCAAACTCATCTCAGTTCTCAAAAAAAAAAAAAAAAATTAACTGCACGAACGCTTCTCGTCAGCAATGTATGTTCAAAATTTAACTGAAAAGCGAGGGAATTTATTTTGCACGGGCCTGAGAGGCTAAGTATGCACTTTGTAGAGACTCTAACACTAATGACTATCTTAGTTGGTGAGTTTAGTGAAAGCAAAGATAAAATCATTTTAAATCACCTGATACTTATGGCAAAATTTTATATTTATAAATGCAAATTGAATAATATGGAACCATTTCGTAGCAAAAGTTAAAATAGTTCTGGACATAGAACGAAAAATAGTAGTAAACCATAATAAGATGACTAAATATAACAAAAAATGGGAAAAACTCTTAACTTGTAATTTCATTTAAACTTTCGACGTTTTTTCTAGAATCCCCTCTCCCGAAAAAAGTATTGTAAATGAGACTCTACTGTATGTAACGTATTGTAAGCAGTTTTCTGTGAGTAATTTATTGTAAGTAATTTACGTGTATGTAGGGTACGTTTAGTAATGTAATTTATTGTAACTAGTCTGTTGTAAGTAACATACTGTAATTCGGTATTTGTAAGTAAAGTATTGTTAGAGGTATGTTTAGGTATAGTTAAGTTGTGTGTCATATTGTACTTTATTATATGGCTGTCTCACAAGGACTGGGAACTACCGAATTCACGAATTTGATTGGCTGAAATCGATATTGACAGCGGTCTAGATTTTCCCATCTAGACCGGCATCTCGACCGATCACATTTTGCCGGGAAAAAGTTGCCAACTAAATACAAAAATATTGACTATTTTCTTCCAAAATATTAGTTCCAGAAAATATTCATATTATGGAAGTGCCAAGCCTGATGAGGAAAAACAGTATAGAGGACGAGCAAACTTTGGCAGAATTAAGTTCAGCTCATCGTCGTTCGCAAGCAAAATGTCAGCTAGTACAAACCAGTTACATTAAACGAATCAGTTTTTTCTTGTTTGCCATATAATAAACATCTTATTAACCAAGCTTAGTCGGTCTGTATGTGAGAATCTTGAGCTCGGTCGTGTGTAAAGACCTCACTGCGTTCGGTCTGTACTCCCGACCTCGATCAAGATTCTTCCATACAGACCTCCTGCTCGGTTAATAAGAGCTAAGTACTATAAGTACAACAACAACAACAACAACAACAACAACAGCAACAAATTAAAAAACTACAAAAAAAAAAAAAAAAAAAAAAAAGGTCGACTTTAATTTGGACACGAAGTCGTCAAGTCTAAGATTTTTCAGTGATTTGTGCAAGTAGTTGACAGCGTCACCTAATGTGAAAACATAAAGGCAAAGTTATCTACAGTGTATTGGGTCTTTCGGTTGTATTACTTTTAANTTTTTTCTTGTTTGTCATATAATAAACATCTTATTAACCAAGCTTAGTCGGTCTGTATGTGAGAATCTTGACCTCGGTCGTGTGTACAGGCCTCACTGCGTTCGGTCTGTACTCCCGACCTCGGTCAAGATTCTTCCATACAGACCTCCTGCTCGGTTAATAAGAGCTAAGTATTATCAGTACCACAAAAAAAAAAATAAAATAAAAAAGTTACAAAAAACAAACAAACAAAAAAAGACAGTATGCCTAGCGAAAACAAAACTAGTGGTCTTTTGCTCGAATTCATCAGCCGAAAATACGAAAATACTAAAATTTAGGGAACAGAAGTTGAATCTTTTCGAATTTGTAGTTTAATAGTCTTTTCTCTACGTTCTCTACGTATACAGGCGCTGTTTTAGTCTTTCACAACTGCAGCTATATAAGTATGAAGTTACGGAATTATTACGTTTTACCCTTTTCAGTTGCGTTAATTTAATTCTGTCGAGAAACTTCACGCCATCAATACAGATAAACTTTTCATATTACTTTGTGAAGTTTGATGATGATGGGGAAGTAAACAGTAGGTAAATATTTAAGCAATAGAGCACTTTTTCCGTGTTTGCATAGCCTCGTCTAAACACGAGGAGGGTCGAGTGTTAAGATGAGGCTATGTAAACGCGGAAAAAGTGCTCTGTTGCTTTTATAAAAGAATTCTCAAAAATACGCGCGAATCTAAAACGTCACAACCCGTGTTTACGTACTCTCATTTAAACACACCTATCGACCAATGACCGCGTAATGGCTCGGTTATTTTATAAAATCTTATGTTGATATATTCACATGTATTAATCAAAGCAATGTAGAAACCAAGATTGATTTAAAATAAATGTTGGATGTTGATAATGGTTGTTATTATTTTAATTTACCGATGCATCGGTTACTGACTTACGTGCAATTTCGAGGGACCGTATCCAGGATGAATCAGAGTAGAATTTTTTTTTTTTTATCTGCTCGAACAATTACAAAAATTACAACTAAACTTACACTTCATTTACAAAAAAACAGTCTTCGGAGTACATACATTCGGAGTGCGTAAAAATATTCATTTGCTTGCTCAGTAAGTGTCTCTAGTCTAACATAGCAAAGCTATGATATATATTTAATATTAATAAAGTCACGTTTTTATTTCATTCAGTATGTATTGGAAGTGGAATATTCCTTACTTCATTACAAGGTCCTTGGTAACCAACTTCTACGCCTCGGAGGTCATAGTTAGCGTATGTTATTAGATGTGCACACCTCAACAGGGAACGGAACTTACTTGTGATTCAAAAAACTACAAAAATACGGTTTAACGACGCAAGCAATGTTACTGCGCAATTCTGTCATTTGATAATCTAGGAGTGTATTCGTACGACTGTTTTTGTACAACATCAATTAACTTTTTCATTCACGTCTACACCAAACTGATCCTTCTAGATTCTTGGACATTAAAAAGTCTGGATTCGTCAATAGGCTATTGAAAAGGCTGCAATCTCTGAGATAAATGATTGTATTTCTTGCTATTAACGGTAATTTAAGATAAACCTCTGTCAACTATGATAGAGATCTTCCGACATCGACAAGCAGTGAACTGATAACATGGCGGGACTCAAAAGAATTTGCTTTGTCACCGACCCAGGGCAACATAATAATGTTTCTTTTCTCGTTCATTTGCTGTGAACAGTTAGACCACAACTTATGCAAATAACTTAATGAATTTCCTTGAGAGAAAGCTTTGGAGTGACATATTTTTATGCAATGTAGTATGCCGTCAGGAAAATTACTTCACATAATGTGGACAAATAAACTAAAGGAAACTGAATTTGAATTTCATTTTGTGACCGGAACTGTGTTGATTCTGTTAGGCCCGGTTTAAACGTCACATTTTACATGCGCCGAATCAAATACTAATTTTAGTCGACTCGAATGAATAAGTTTGGCTGATTTGATTTGATTTAAACGTTGCATTTTTTTGCCGAATAAAATTGCTGAGCGCGAGCGATAGCGACGTGGTAATTCCCATTCGAGCAAACACAATTTATTTAACATAATTTATTTAACATAATTTATGAATTAGATTCGGCACATGTAAAATGCGGCGTTCAAATCAACTGTCGAACTTCAGTCGTATATTCGACTGGATCAGTCGAATATTCGACTGAACTCGCATTTAATTGAAATATGTCGCATTTAATTGATTTAAACGTCGCATTTTACATGCACTTAATTCGGCAATTCGATTCGGCGCATGTAAAATGCGACGTTTAAACCGGGCCTTAGGGATAAGATTGATGCGGTAATTCTACAACTTAGTTGATCTTTTATGATCTCTTTTGGTTTGTAGAATTTCTCCAGCTGTTTCTCGAAGGAAAACTCATTTCATGTGAGGAAGAAAGTCGGTGAATTTTCAATGCAAAACGTCACGAAGTCGAAAATCAAGAATTTCAAACGAAAGTGTAAACATGAATACTTCTCTATGTTACTTTTCAAGACAAAAAGGAGAATGTTTTTTTTTTTTTCGGGTAAAAACAGCAAAAATCGGTTCAAATGAGAACCTTCTCGTATGAGCTTGAGGGACTACCTTTAGGCTGCAAATTAATTTCAGACTAGTGTGGCTTTTATCTTTATAAACATTTGCTTTAGCAACGTATTTCGGAATAAAGCGGTGACTAGTTTTTAGCGCGCTGTAACACTTCCCTGATTCTCTTTTGATTTGCCGAGCTTTACAGT